AAGTGAATGGCAATCTTGTGGGCGGTGAGTGAGTTACTGGGTGGGGCTAAACTGAGCATGTGCATGTGGCTACAGGTTTAGTCTGTCTTATCAGGTGGACATTTGAACAAGAGGAGGGGCAGAAAAAGCAGGATCAAACAGCCTTTTTACACAATGTAGAGGATTAACCCCTTAGGTTCCACAGTGAGTATAACAAGCATGCTTTACTGCATATACAGACTGATTTTACTGTTGTGGGTTTAGTAACACTTTAATGCAAAGAATGCATTAAGGTAAAAAAATTTCCCCCTTTAGTGCCACTTTAAAATATCTGTAAACCCAAACTGAAACCTTGCGTAATTTGTTATGGTATTGTTATGTTAATGCAGTTTCAAAAGTCATTTTCAATGCTTTAAATCTGTAACTTTAATTAAAATAGTACCTGGTGAGCCTACTATGAAGGTCCTTGTTCAGGCACCTCCTGTTATAGGGTGGCGATGGTCTGTGTCCCTGTCTCCCTATTGCTCTCCTGTGTTGGTAACCCTGTCACAAAAGCTTTTGATGGAGACCACAAGTGGCTGTTTTAGCACAAATTATCTTTTTAATACCCTGCTTCCAGGTTTTGGCACACACTCTGCGAAATGGATAGGTGAGGGAAAGTTACATGGAAGTGCAAGTGTTTTTCCCTGGCGTGGTGTTCTCCCACTGGGTTGTATATTCAGTTGAGCCTTTCCCTTAATACACGTTCTTGCTCCTGCAACCAGACCCTGCACCATTACTTTCTGTACCACGCTGCACCTACCCACAAGCGAACATAGGGAACAACTCGCACCAAATTACAGCAAAGCTTTGTATGGGCTTGGGGCAGACTACTGGTATATACCAGAGGGGGTCATCTGTGACATTAGATATGCTGGTTCTGTATGAGAGAGTTCAGTGCCTGAGAAAAAAAAACAGGTGAAGAGTGAAATTAGAAATAGACTTGCAAAATCATAAACAATACTGACTGCTGTTACCCATTTATATTTTGCAAAAAGAGGGATGGGGGAAAGGTTGGATGTGGGAGGTTATCCTGGAGACAGGGAAGCAAAAGGGCTGAAGACTACTGTACCAAGATACTTACAATGGAGTTTGGATGGTGAGACTGAAAGGAGCTCATACCTGAGCCCCTTCCGTATTCCAAAAAGTCAACAAATCCTCAAAAGACAGATGGGGGTCTATTTTTAGTGATCACCAGTGTGTGTAAGAGACATTTCCAGCAAATTACTGTTATTATAAAAATAATTCATATCTGAAAAAGCACAACGTCCTCCCTATTGCTTCTTTTTTTCTACATGGCTTTTTTACACAGGTCAATGTACAGCGCCAACGGACAGCTCAGATTTGTTCCTTCTTTTAACAAGCAAGTGGCAGCAACTGTGATTCTGACAAAGATTTCTACTAATGACTTTGGCACATGAATGGAGTTTACAGAAAGTACGCATTTACCGGATTTTTCACACTGGTGCTTTTAATGTGCGTACTGGGAACACAATTTATATTTTGTTCTCAAATGACTTCAAGATGTAGATAGAGTTCCATTAATTTCTGCAGAAAAGCTCCAGTGTCCAGTTGAAGTAACACTTTAACTATACAGGATCACAGTGAGAGAAATATGCTAAGTCAGATAATGTTCATGAAGGCTTAATGGAACGTTTCTTGTTTCTTCAGCTAAGCTGGGCTTCACATATCAAGAAATCAATTTTTAGAAATGTCTCCTATGCCCCAACAACTACCAATCAATACTACTGCAATCTGAATAGTTGGGAAGCAGAGATGGGATCTGAAAACCTGAATATGATTGGGTACTGTGGAGTCATGCAGACATTTTTTCAGTTCTAACTATTCATATACATTTGGTTTATAAATGTATACAGTTCCTGATGTGTGAACAGCCTCATGTTTGTGCCTGTCTTCTGTGGATATCTACAAGTGTCTCTACTAGCTTCTTAGATGAGCTACCTTGTTTGAAATCATAAATATTACAAGATTAACATGGGCAGGCAAAACTTTATAAGCCCCTATAACAAACCTGTTTTCTTAAATAACATATTAAATAACCTATTTAAAGAATAGGTTCATCTTAAGTAGCATGTTACATGGTACAGCCATATTTAGGGTTTTTGTACCTGCCCCTCTCGTGGATGCAATGCTTTGAAGGCTCCTGGGGGGGGGGGGGGAGATAATAAAGGCACATTTTTTGCATTTTGTTTTATCCTAAAACATGAACTTATCCTTTATAGTGTTACTAAACCCACAACAGTAAAATCAGTCTGTATATGCAGTAGAGCATGCTTGTTATATTCACTGTGAAACCTAAGGGGTTAATCCTCTGCATTGTGTAAAAAGGCTGTTTGATCCTTTCTTCTCTGTTCCTCCCCTTTTTCAAGTAACCGCCTCTTATCTCCAGACTGAACCGTAGGCATGCACATGCACAGTTTGGTGTATATTTCTACAGAGGTTTTTTTTTTTTTCTTGGGAGAGTGCATGTGATCAGCACAGGGCCAATCAGCCCTGTTCAGACAGAGGTCAGGGGATTTCCATCCTCCTAGAGCAGAAAGAAAAAACTCATCATACTAGCTTTAGCTAGTGCTGGGCTGAGCACTGATAGAAGTCACAAGACTGCTCTAACTGCTGATGAGAAAAGGTATTTAGCAGTTTATATTTACTAAAATATTTGCACTTCCATGTTGTGTGTACTGTGGGAGACCAGATATAGTGAATGCGGGGTCCGGCGTTTAGTAACACAAAGTCTTTGACAAGAAGAAAGGTCAGAAAGGTCTCTCTTTACAGCTAGGTGACTTTTGGTTACTCATGGCACCTTTCCAGGCATGGTGTCTTGGGGTTAGGCATTGGGCTCCATGGGCACTAGCTAGTTAGTAGTGTGACAAACGCAGTGCCCGACCCCTGCCCTTCTCACCAACTTGTGACAAAGGACCAGCCAATCTCGCACCACACTGTCACTTGCATAACAATGCCACTCTCATCTGCACCCTGCACAAAGATTTTCCAGTTTGCAGGACCACAATCTAGGTACCATCAGCCTGAGAGCGATTGTCACTGGGTTAGGTTAATTGTGCAATTAACCCTTCAAACTCCAAACTGTCACCAGATAGTTTTGGGACTATCAACCCTTCATAATGTTAGCAAGAACAAATGTGAACAATAAATGTTTGTAACACACACTGTCACCACAGATATGTATATTCAGAGGATTATTATATACAGTAGCACTCTTAAAGAGACAGGGATTCTTTAGTTTGCATTAAAAGCTTTAGACACAGTTTCAACACTTTTCAAAATAGGATTCATTACTAAAAAGGTCAAAATGGTGCACTTAAAATATTTACAGAAATGGATGTTACAAAGAAATAACGAGAACAATAAAGCAACAGAGAAATAAAAGAAAGGAATTAAGATGTCAGAATACTTGCAAAGTCCTGGTTTGAGTCCAACTGTCTGAGCAAAAATGTTGCCTTGGCTCTCAAGTCTGTTAAAATGTTCCTTGGTTGATGTTAAACGAGAGCTCACTTACTAAGATCCGGTCAGTCCCTTTCTATGATATCAAAGGGGTGTCGCCTGAGAACAACTGACCAATCATCCGGTTCAGGGGATGGGTGCTAGTAGGTCACTAGATTTAAGTCCCAACTACAGTTTCATACTAATATTAACAACTTCCAGTATGTGCAGGCGGTATTCTAGCAACTGGCAGATTAATATTCAGAATTATATTTCGAACCTTGACCTTGATTTTTTTTTTTTGGTATGATATTCCCTATTCAAATATATACCTAACATTAATGTGCCCTGTTCTTGTTGAATGCTATGAATTGTATGTGAAATGGTTATATGTGGAATAGATGTTTTATTATATAGTTAATATTATTTTACGATAGGGCAGAGGAAAGTGTTTTCCATGGTTCGTGGAAACAGACATCCTGCCAAGAATAATTAGCTGGCGTTCAGGCTGTGTTTTAATTAAGATAAGAAGTTCTTTTGAAGTTTGTTAAAAGTTACAGCTACAAATGCCATTGCTTTCAGGAGGGAGGAGGGGAGGAATATCATTGCTCATGAAAAACAAAAATGGCTGTCATGTACAGGTTCCATGTCTCTGTTGTGCACAATCGTTACAAGTAGTATCGTAAAGGTGCATTTCTAGGCGAAAGAAAGTTTTTCTTCATATAATACCTAATAAGTATTTAGCTTTCAGATATTCATGAATGATAAAAAAAATGCAGTTATAGGTGCATCTAATGTCAATAGAGCTCTGATATAAAAGGTTTTCTCATATATCAAACTATACATTTGAATCAATATGGTCAGTCCATGGACTAGAGCCTATTGCCAAAAAAAGGTATAGGTATAATTTGCTATTTTTCTGTAGTGCTACTAGAGGCTACACAGATTGGTTACAGAATAAGGAGTAACCAGGAATATGGAGGAACCAGAAGTGCTGCTTATTCTGGGCAGATTGTACATTGGGCATATAGTTATTAAAGTGCAACTGAAGGCAAAACATGTTTTTCTTAGTTTTAGATAGAGGGGGAGGGATTAGAACCCCTGTCAATTTTTATTGCTGTCTGTGGTCCTGTTAAGGAGATTCACCCTCTAAATGTGTCCTGTTTACCATTATTATTGAAAATGAAAGTAAAGAAAACCCCAAATTTTGGGTTGTCTCCAGAAAAGTAATAGAGGGGAAATCTTCCAATGGGGATACTAGGTCTAGTGACCTGGGGGACTCCAGGGGTTTCCCTTAATTTGCAGGGATTTCCTCTCACTTCCTGTTTTGGTTAGGGGACAGGAAATGAAGGGAAATCTCAGCAATGGAACACAGATGGCAAAAAAAAATCTGACAAGGATTATAACCCTCCTTTACATCTAGACCAGTGATGGCGAACCCGTGGCACGCGTGCCACAGCCGGCACGCCGAGCCTTATCTGTGGGCACGCCAGGAGAATACCGTATTTTTCGCTCCATAAGACCCAAAAAAGGGGGGAAAATGTCAGTGCGTCTTATGGAGCGAATATAGAGCGGCCGGTCCGGTATTTTCCACCGCCGCCGTGTCAGAATACCGGGCCGGCCGCTCAGCTCTGCAGTGGGACCGTACCTGTCCCTCTATCCAGCGGCGCGCTGTCTTCCCGGCTTCTGTAGTGTGCGTGGCAGCCGGGTCCCAAGTGCGCATGCGCAAGAAGCGGTGCTCTTTGTGAATGGTAAGGCAGTACCTGGGACACATGACAGATCCCAGAAGCCGCCGGACCAATCACAAAGCGCAGCGCTTCTCGCGCATGCGCACTGGGCATCCGGCTGTCCGACGAGCGCCCACACTACAGAAGCCGGGAAGACAGCGCGCGGCTGGATAAAGGAACAGGTAAGATGAAAAAAAAAACTCTGCGGAAGTAAGAGCGGGTACCTGTCAAATTCAGGTACCCGCTTCCCACCTCCCCAAAGGTCAGCAGTCATCTGTACTGTCCGCAGTCTCTGGTCATCCCTGTGCTTTCCGCAGTCTCTGGTCATCTCTTGTACTGTCCGCAGTCTCTGGTCATCCCTGTACTGTCCGCAGTCTCTGGTCATCCCTGTACTGTGTCCACAGTCTCTGGTCATCCCTGTACTGTCCGCAGTCTCTGGTCATCCCCTGTACTGTCCGCAGTCTCTGGTCATCCCCTGTACTGTGTCTGCAGTCTCTGGTCATCCCTGTACTGTGTCCGCAGTCTCTGGTCATCCCTGTACTGTGTCCGCAGTCTCTGGTCATCCCTGTACTGTGTCTGCAGTCTCTGGTCATCCCTGTACTGTGTCTGCAGTCTCTGGTCATCCCTGTACTGTGTCTGCAGTCTCTGGTCATCCCCTGTACTATGTCTGCAGTCTCTGGTCATCCCTGTACTGTGTCTGCAGTCTCTGGTCATCCCTGTACCGTGTCCGCAGTCTCTGGTCATCCCTGTACCGTGTCCGCAGTCTCTGGTCATCCCTGTACCGTGTCCGCAGTCTCTGGTCATCTCCTGTACCGTGTCCGCAGTCTCTGGTCATCCCTGTACCGTGTCCGCAGTCTCTGGTCATCCCTGTACCGTGTCCGCAGTCTCTGGTCATCCCTGTACTGTGTCCGCAGTCTCTGGTCATCCCTGTACTGTGTCCGCAGTCTCTGGTCATCCCTGTACTGTGTCCGCAGTCTCTGGTCATCCCTGTACTGTGTCCGCAGTCTCTGTCATCCCTGTACCGTGTCCGCAGTCTCTGGTCATCCCTGTGTACCGTCCGCAGTCTCTGGTCATTCCTGTACTGTGTCTGCAGTCTCTGGTCATCCCTGTACTGTGTCCGCAGTCTCTGGTCATCCCTGTACTGTGTCCGCAGTCTCTGGTCATCCCTGTACTGTGTCCGCAGTCTCTGGTCATCCCTGTACTGTGTCTGCAGTCTCTGGTCATCCCTGTACTGTGTCTGCAGTCTCTGGTCATCCCTGTACTGTGTCTGCAGTCTCTGGTCATCCCCTGTACTGTCTGCAGTGTCTGGTCATCCCCTGTACTGTCCGCAGTCTCTGGTCATCCCTGTACTGTCCGCAGTCTCTGGTCATCCCTGTACTGTTAATTAGTTTGCACTACTGTACGAGTTGTTTTTTCTAAACCAAAAGCTTGATATTCAGGTTTCATTGCAGTGTTGGCACTTTGAAAGAAATAAGTTGGTTTTGGGTTGCAGTTTGGGCACTCGGGCTCAAAAAGGTTCGCCATCACTGATCTAGACCATGACCATCTGCTTGAAATGGCTGACAACATGGAACATTAAGGCTGCACTTAGTTGCAAATGTACATACAATAGGCTTATGTATAAAAAAGAAGAAAGAAACTGTTTCAGTACTGCCTATATCAAAGATATCATCCTTTCTTTAAATTTCCAAAGTGCATTTATAACAAAGAATGCCATTACCATCTTCTTTTTCTCCTATTTTTGAGATCCTAGTTTTTAAAACTGTCCGTAAGTGCTTATAATTGTCTAAATTAGACTGTTTTCATGATAACTATTTTATAAGGAGCTTGTGAACCCCCCATCCACTTGACCTGACTTTTACAATGTAATTCTCCACAAATATGTGATTTTCCTAGGGTGGCATTTTTCAGGGGGGCAGCACTGCCCCTTGGAAGAATGGATGGAAGAAGGGACACACGCGGCATGGGGACCTGGTGGGTTCCAAGAGATGCTGTGGGTTTCATGACGATATATGCACAGCCTGACTCTCGTTCCTGGGGATGTCCGGAGCTGTGAAGGCGAGTGTCTTTCTCTAACCATGGGGGATGGTGGCTGGTGTATGGGGGCAGTGATAGTGGAAGGCTCGGATGGAGGGCAGGGGTGTTCTTGGTCAATGTCTGACTCTTTCTGTGGGGGGGGGGGGGGGGCAATTTTTGTGTTGCCTAGGGCAGCACAAAACCTAAATACACCACTGGGCAGATGTCTATTTCATGTTACACACCTGTGACTCTCAGTTTGTCCGTCCCAACTAATACTTCTTTGTCATCCACAGAAAACAGCATTTTTCCTTTGTCTGAGTTTATCAGGAACTGTTGAGCATGGGTTTCTACCACCTTAGGACCTGGAAAAAATAACACAATGAATATGTCATGAAAGTAATTCTTGAACAAAGCCTATTTATATTGACTGCATTCTGTCTGTTCTGCAGTTTCCAGTGTTTCTGTGAATTCACTGAAATACATTTGTATGTTGAAACTAAAGGGTTGATTTACTAAAACTGGAGAGTGCAAAATCTGGTGCACCTATGCATAAAAAGCAATCAGCTTCCAGATTTTTTTCTTGTCAAGCTTAAAGAACGCCAGGATAAGCAAAAAAAAAAAAAAAAAAAACACCCATTAGTACACCCTGTACACAAAACACTAAACAGTTAATAAACTTTTGAAAACACTTACCATTTAGAAGAAAAGTCGAATTGATTTTTCATGACCTCATCTCTGTAATTCAAAAGATAACAGCATCTTCTGCCTCAAGCAGGGCCGATGCTTCCACTAGGCAAACTAGGCAGCTGCCTAGGGTGCAATGCCACCTAGAGATGTCTGGGCGCAGCATTGGCCGGTACTCTCTCTGGTTGGCCTATGAACCTCTTGTATGAATTCTCCATTTCTCTGCAGAGTCCCCCTCTTCTCATACACAGGGAATGAGGAGGGAATGATGGTATATTTACTCTACACTATTGTATCACAGCCTGTCCACACACATGACCATTTAGTAATATATATATAACAGTATTCCATGTAGCAGTGAAGTGTCGGCTCCCCCTAGGATGGTACACACACTGACACACACACGATCCTCCAGCTGTAACAGGGAGCCAGCTAGTGACCGAATGGGGTGTGTCCAGAGCTGGCTCCAAGGCCTTCTACACAGCTGGAGCTAATCAATAGGCAGGGGTGTGCTCTGGTTACAGGGTTAACCCAATGTGAGTAGGATGATTAGGGCCCGATGTGTATGAGAGGGAAGCGGTGTAGTGCTGGGAGGCCACCTGTTCTCACTGAGAGCCACAGCCTGGACTCCGCACCCTGGCAGGAGCCATAAGAGGAGAGCCAAGCCTAGAACAATGGCGGGTCATGGTGGTGACAGGATGAAGGGGGGCGGACAATGGTCAGGGTGAGGGGAGCGGACGATGACTGATCGTGTGGGATGCCGCCACATCATGATTGATCCTTCAGCTGAGGGGGGGGGGGGGCAGAGGCGGAGGAAGAAAAGAGGAAGATGCCAGGTATCTGGGCCCAGTGTAGGAGCTGAGCTCCTTCCGGTGTTCCTCTCAGTCCCTTATTGCAAGCCGGCTGGCGACTGCTGATCCTTGTAGAGTTTTGTTACTCTGTCTCTTTCTGTTTCTCTGTCTGGTTGGTTGGTTAATACAGTTAATTTATATTTGGTTAATATATATTTTGTCTTTAATAGTGGTGCTGGTGGCATCATATGGCACTTATTTTTACAAATTAAAAGAAAATAAGCAGTTTCATAGTTTGTTGATTTAATATTTGCTACTGTTTTTAAAAGTATTTATTTTTATTTGTTTTGGGTGTTGTTTTTTTTGGGGGGGGGGTTTTTTCTTGCCTAGAGTGCAAAGTAGTCTAGCACCAGCACTGCTGCCAAGGAGGAGGCATAACAGCATGTATTACATCATATCCTCTCCTCTCTCCCTGCAGTAAAAGGAAACTACAGTTCAACCACAGGGAATGTAGGCGGGTACACTAGGCATGTACATGTTGAATGTGTCAGAGAGTCTTGGTCCACCCACCACTGCAAGTGAAGCAGAATTCCATCACTGCTTCCTGGAGAAAGAACTACAGAAGGGATGTCCCAAGACCACAGACTGGGGGAATAGGAGGCATAACAGCCACCGGCCTTACAAACAGGAAATCAAAGAGAATTAATGGTTTGATTTGAAAATGAAGCAACTACTAGTAAACCAGAAGACGGGTGACATATTCAGTGAAGGTAGGAAATCAGCAACAAGGACATGTAAAGATGTTTTCCCGGAGCTCTGCTTTAAATGAACAAGCTGAAGTTAAAAGCTGGCTACCATGCACAGTTGCACCAGATTTTGCACTCTCCTGTTTAAGTAAATCAACCCCAGTGTTTAATTGATAAAGGGGTATCTGTATGGTAAAGAGGTTCAGTTAACCAAAAATGAACATTTCAGGTATGTAGGGACACTGGTCAGCTGAATGGCTTACCCACATCATAAATCTTGTCAAGAATTTAACTCGCAATATTCACTGCTAAATGGGATGCTAAAATCTGGAGCCTTGCTTTCAAAAGGATACAACATAACATTGCTACATTTGTTTATACTCTGTTAAAATTATCTGTAGATCAAAGGAATGAGTTTGGATCTGTATATGATGTGAATTAAAAGCTGACATCACATTTTGCACCATGTTACACCGATATTTAGGAAATAACACAGTGCAAACGCTTCCCCCCGTCACATTTAAAATCACAAGCCGCGGTCACATTTAACATTGGCGTAGCTGTGAATTAACTACAAGTCCCGTATTCACCGCTGCAGACAGACTTGTAGTTCTCAATGGACTCTGAGTGTGGCAATCAACACACTCTTAGTTCACTGAATCTTCCTCCACCTCATGCAGCTCAGAGGCTGTATAGAAGTATGGTCAGAGACCATCCACTGATCACAGGAGCAATACGTTGCAGGCTCTTGTACAAGTAAATAAATTCATTTTTTCCTGCAAAACCGTGAATTTATAATTTATTTCAAAAGTGAACTTAGCCTTTAACCATTTCACTGCCAGGTCCGTATGGCATACGGACCTACAGTATATCACTGCTCCTAGGTGGCCGGGTCCGTAAGGCGTACAGACCTACAATATATCACTGCTCCTAGGTGGCCGGGTCCGTAAGGTGTACGGACCTACGGTATATCACTGCTCCTAGGTGGCCGGGTCCGTACGCCGTACGGACCTACAGTATATCACTGCTCCTAGCTGGC